GCGTGGGTGGGGACTGGTGAAAATGGGGGGGGTGTTGGAGTACTGGTGTCACCGGTGTCACTGGAGGTTACTGGGAGCACTGGGGGTTACTGGTGTCACTGGGAAGGCACTGGGGGGGGTCACTGGGGGTTACTGGTGTGTTAGTGGTGTGTTACTGGTGTCACTGGTGTGTTACTGGTGTCACTGGTGTGTCCCAGGACGTCACCAAGCGCCTGTCCCTGCCGGCCGACACGCGCCTGCCCGAGGGGGGGCTGGGGCTGCCCGGGCCCCTGAGCCGCCGCCTGCGCCGCGTCTCCCTGGTGAGTCCCCCGCGCACCAGTACGGACCAGTATAGACCAGTATAAACCAGTACGGGTCGGTGTAAACCAGTATAAACTGGCATAAACCGGTATGGGCTGGTATGGGCAGGTATAAACTGGTACGGGCCAGTGTAAAGTGGGGTAGTCCAGTACAGGCCAGTATAGAGCAGGACAGCCCAGTATAGACCAGTACAGACCAGTATGGCGCAGTATAGACCAATATGGACCAGTACAGGCTGGTATAAACCCGTACAGTCCAGTACAGACCAGTACAGACCAGTGTGGGCCAGCGTAGACCAGTACAGATCAGTACAAAGCAGTTCAGACCAGTATAGACCAGTACAGACCAGTATGGCGCAGTATAGACCAATATGGACCAGTACAGGCTGGTATAAACCCGTACAGTCCAGTACAGACCAGTACAGACCAGTGTGGGCCAGCGTAGACCAGTACAGATCAGTACAAAGCAGTTCAGACCAGTATAGACCAGTACAGACCAGTATGGAGCCGTGGGGGGTTGGGAGGGGCTGGGGTCGCTCCCAGTTCTCCCAGTTCTCCCAGTAACCGCGTCCCCTCTCCGCCAGTCCGAGATCGGCTTCGGGAAGCTGGAGACCTACGTCAAACTGGACAAACTGGGAGAGGTGAGGGGCGGCCACTGGTGTCCCCACAGTGTCCCCAGTGTGTCCCCAGTGTGTCCCCAGTGTGTCCCCAGTGTGTCCCCACTGTCCCATGTGTCCCCTGATGTCCCCTGATGTCCCTGCTGTCCCCAGCTGTCCCCTGCTGTCCCCTGATGTCCCTGATGTCCCTGATGTCCCCACTGTCCCCTGCTGTCCCCTGATGTCCCTGATGTCCCTGATGTCCCTGCTGTCCCCTGATGTCCCCACTGTCCCCTGCTGTCCCCTGATGTCCCTGATGTCCCTGATGTCCCTGCTGTCCCCTGATGTCCCCACTGTCCCCTGCTGTCCCCTGATGTCCCTGATGTCCCTGATGTCCCTGCTGTCCCCTGATGTCCCCACTGTCCCCTGCTGTCCCCTGATGTCCCTGATGTCCCTGATGTCCCTGATGTCCCTGATGTCCCCTGATGTCCCTGATGTCCCTGATGTCCCCAGCTGTCCCTGATGTCCCCTGATGTCCCTGATGTCCCTGATGTCCCCTGATGTCCCTGATGTCCCCTGATGTCCCCTGATGTCCCCTGCTGTCCCCTGATGTCCCTGATGTCCCTGCTGTCCCCTGCTGTCCCTGCTGTCCCTGCTGTCCCCAGCTGTCCCCTGATGTCCCCTGATGTCCCCGCTGTCCCCGCTGTCCCCAGGGCACGTACGCCACGGTGTACAAGGGCCGCAGCAAACTGACCGAGAACCTGGTGGCGCTGAAGGAAATCCGGCTGGAGCACGAGGAGGGGGCGCCCTGCACGGCCATCCGCGAGGGTGGGGACACTGGGGACATCATTGGGGCATGGGGACATCGCTGGGGACACTGGGGACATCATTGGGGCA